TATATATATATATATATATATATATATATATATATATATATATATATATATACTTGCTTAGCATCGAGTTATTGATGAAACAAACCCTGGAAATTTCAAGGTCTCGTGGAGCATGAATGTGTAGTGCAACCAGTCATAGGGCTGTGTCAAATCCATTTCATGTTCTTCTTTTTGTCAGGTTTAACATTGTGCTTTTCCAGTTTCCGCGAATAAGCCAGCCGGTCCAGTAACACGGCAATATGAAAATGCGAAATATTGATAGATTCACTCTAGAGCTTTGCAGTGGCGATGATGATTCCCTTTGCATTGAATTGTTAACTCAGTTTCACTATCGACTTTCGGTCAGGGTCTCTTCAAACTTTTATGGGATCTGAGTGGATCAGCATTGTTGGTGGAAGCTTTATGTTTCGAATGATTTGCCCATGGTTTGAATACTGACAAGAACAATGCAAGTGAATCTTCCGCCGGATTTACAACTCGAACCACGGGAAAGCAGTGAAAAGGGCTATTTGATACACTGATTTGTTAAGAAGCATTTTTCAAGGGGAAAATGAAGGAAGATCAGTCCAAACCCCATAGATTCATGCATAACAATCCGGATGCACATAGCTGATGAGCGTTTTCTCCTTCTAATGAACATTGTTTTGTTGCTCTTGGTGATCATAAAGATAATCGTGCCATGATTTGTTTGGCACGCAGTCTGGATTAAGATGTGTGTGTGTCAGAATATTATATATATATATAGCCATGTGCAAGAATCACACGAACTCTCGTAACGTATCTTTGGGTAGCCTATTCTCGACCGTATTGTTCATTTTTCATTGTTTAGAAAAAAAGACATTCACGGGACATTTTCCTGTCTGTTTTATGGAAAGATTAGTGGCCTCAATAGGATTCAAACCCACTGAAAGATACCACCACGTGCATCCTATCAGCTGAGCTGTTAGGCCATCCATATCTATTGCCTTGGTCTGTTCACACTCCATCACCCTCACTTTTGAAGGTATATGAAAACCACCAATTAGCATGCCAGCTGGCAGGATTTAGCTACCATTCACCAAATGAAATCTGTTGATTTGCAAGCTGTTCAACTGGTGTTCTTTTGGCAGACATCAGAGAAAGACATTTTCATACTCCATCGTAACGCATCCCTTCCCGTTGATTTATATTTTCTTTAGGAGCGAATTCTGAGCGAGAAGTTTCGTTCCCAAGGAGGTGAGTACGTTTGTGATATTTTTTTTCCTGTTGACCAAACCTGATACATTTGTGTTTCCTACACCATTACCTATTGAAACAAACGTGCATCGAACTGATAATCACATGAAGTACCTTCTCGTAACGTACAATTTGAACCTCGACCTATAACCAGCAAATTGACTACGTTATTAATATTACACTTTAGTAATGTACACTAGACGGGGCATTTAGATGGGTGAAACCGGTGTTTCAATGGCGATTATCGATACAATTCACTCAATAGTACAGAATCGAACAGCAAGGATATCCGTTATGGAAGACGGTTTCATAGCCACTTCTTGTGTATTCACCTGCTTACATCGGTAGGTTGACACAATCGAACTCGTGATTAGAGTCCCAGAAAGCAGACCAAGACCAACGGCAATCGTCCACAGACACTCACTATTTCTACCTTACCGTTACGTGATAAATCTCTATTCACTTCTGCTTTCTTGACGAGTTACACCAAATGGCTAAGTGACCCTCCGAGTGTCTGAATTTCGTGCCAATCAGGAACAGACTGTCTTGAACACGAGTTAAAAACATTAGACAAATCTTACCAATAGTTCGCTAGACCGTGCTAACCTCAATAATAGACCTCAGGTAATCACTGCGGTGGAAATTGTCTTTGTCGACCTATCGCCTCGTTCCTCTGACTTCATACTCCGTTCAAACTGGTCTGTTTGACAGAGAGAATTCTGACATCTATAGGCAGATATACACTGCGACTCGCACACTTAAAAGTCTAGGGATTGATGTACGTTAGTTCTCGACAACGCGCATTCAGGATCCGACCTTCATAATCCAATTACTGTCCTTACCGTCCCTGGAGACATTTCCGCGGATGCGGATACACCAATCATTAGATCTTGCTGGTCGGTTGTACGAAACGGTCACCCAAGCCATAGGGCTTAAACCAGTAAACTGTGTAGGATAGGATACATGTGTTATTGACTCTGATTCCGGGGACCTACACTTCTTATCCCGTTACAGTCAACACCCCGAAAACAGGAAGCGGACAGTGATTCGTGACTGCTTGATCGCCCGGGGCAAAGTAATTGCGACATACAAATAATTCTCACCAATAGACAAATCGGGTCTAATTTTACAACTCCTGACAATTAGATTCCCGGACTCGTAGTCGTTCACTGTGAAATAGACGTTCCAAACGGATTTGTCCTATGATGATTTACCGTTTCTCTTCTCCGAAATTCTGATTTATTCTGATCACACTTTGCTTGCAGGTAGCCAGGTACAACAGTTTTGTGCTCAGGGGACGCGAATCGAATGTGCCAAATACAAAGCACGGACTGGAAATCAGGAACGTTGCACGAAACTTCATTTTCGCAAAATTATCCATTCCCATACAGACGGTAAGCCAGTTCCAGACGTCGATTATTTTTCCATCAACTCGTTTGTTTGTCTTCCTTTTAACCGCGCTCTTTGTGCTGTTTCTGCACCCTTATACGTGCCGCTTGAAACCACGGTCTTGCGTTTACATCTACATCACTTTATGCTGTTTAAGGATGCGTCGACTTGATGAATAGCTCTGCTAAAGAACTTGTCATATCTAATGACACGTCAGCTGTTTGTGTATGTTTCGAAATTTGCCGACCACCACATTCGGTTTGACATAACCGAATCGGAATACCGATCGGGCGGTGCAACTATGTACAAAGGAGCGAACGAACAGGTCACAGATTGAGTCGCGCATGTCCTTCCTTCACCAGGGCCACAACATATTTCGTCCTCTTCGTTACTTTGGAATTTTGTGAACCGTGTATCTGTCATAGCTATGTTTGATCTCCATGTTTTGTGTTACCCTCGACTCTTATTATTACTCGTTACGAATGATGTCCGAGGTGAGTCAAAACTGCAATCAGGCTGACTGCCAGGACGCACTTCTCCGACGAGGACTGTTCTTCCATTCCCTTTTTAATTAGCAACGTGATTGGTCCCACTGACCGAATCCCGTTGTTCACACATACACATACATACAGAGAGAGAAGGAGTGCATGCGGGCACGATACGCATACAGTAATCCAGCTGTGTAGGATTCTCCCATGTGGGTATGAAATTTCCATTTTTTGTGGGGTGAAAATAGCGGAAGATGAAGTAAAAATCGGACTGTATTATACCGAACCGCACGATAGTTCAGTAGACACATGAAATGGGATTACTGAATGCTCTTGGGTGGTGTGAATCGTTGCAAACACGTTTTATACTGTGCATCAATGATTAAGCGCAGCATGCAATCGAGGAACTTTCACTGGAACATGTGGAAGTCCGACCGACCGTGTTTGGACATGACACTACAAGTAGCATACCTCACTATAAGAATCGCCCGGTTTATTCTAAGCAGCATTATCGCGCACCGGCCTTCTCGTATATTGCCTTCATGTAACAGTCGTTGAAAAAATTCCGCCCGACTCCTTGATAGACATTCGTCGGCTGCTTATCCATGTTTCATTTGTTATCACCTCAGATGAATCCCGTTACTCTTAATGATCAATTATTCCTCGTCCATTGTAGAATCTCTCGGGGACTGTTCGTTTTTGAACACTTGTTTTCATGTGGATACTTGTAAAGTAAGTTTCTTTGTCTTTTAATTTGATGTATTCCCGGAATACGAGTGTGTGTTATTCCGATACCAACTGCAACACAGTTGTTTTTTCTCTCTCTCATTTCTTGCCTGTACTCCCTCACAGTATGTGCATTACACCATCGACTATTCTGATGAAGAGACCGGAAAATCCACTCACGGCCTCTCGTCCGCCAACACTCAGCAGTCTACCACCGAAACGACCCAGGTCCTGGAGGGTAAACAGACGGAGATGGAAGCACCAGTCACGCTCTATCCTCCTCAGGTAAGTAAACACCGTAACTGGACAGCAGAGCGAATACCTGAATGAACGGACAAAGTATCCATCACCGTCACTTTTTCACTTGTTAGCAAAAAGGCTACTCATCATACATATCGAATAAGAGTCAAGAGCTGGGAAACAATTTGTGTTCTCCTAACACTATTTTATTCACTAATTCAGACATCGCTGATCGTAAATTCATCAGAGGGGAGTTTGCTACTGTTGTGTCTATCTAGTTCACGTAGTTAACAGTTACCCTCTCGCGTGGATTCACATGTAGACTAATAACAAATACCTTGTCCGAAGAATAATTTCCATTGTGTGTGTGTGTAGCGTTGCACGTTATGCAAGCGAATATGATTGTGCCAATCGAACCCAGGGCCAGTTTGTCTGTATCATTGACTCTTGTACACCACGTACAATCTGATACATGTTCCTTTTCCCATGAGCATCCACAAAAACACCTCAGCAGATTTTATTTTTTATTGTTATTCATATACATTAATCGAACTCGTGAATTTAGAGGTCTGTCCAGCTGCTATGCAGTCCTACCGGTTTAGAGCTGGGCTACTCAAAAGAAGCTTAGATTGGAACCAGGCTACCGCTAGACAGATTTACCGTCGATCAATGCGGTATCATACTTTTTACGTTTTAGTATCTGAGCCACCACTTTAGGACTTCAATATAAGGAAAGATTTGTATCGCTACATGGTAGGTTGTCTTAAGGGTTCACTCCGTCTGTTGATAGACTACCGCACTATCATCCGGCCCAACACCACACTCCTCTTTGTGGGTGGGACTCTAACTGATTCACGACTGGAAATCCCAGGACTTCGGTTTTCTGTTATTCATCACACAATGCAATGAGCAATGTGAATAAAAAACGAGACAAGTTGAATTGATAAAATTATCCAGTTCTTCTACTTGGTGTCTTTTTGCAGTGGATCAATTGCGATATACGCATGCTCAATATGTCAATTTTGGGTAAATTCGCCGTGATCATGGCAGACCCACCATGGGATATTCACATGGAGCTGCCTTACGGTACTATGTCCGATGACGAAATGAGACGTTTAGACATCCCATGTCTTCAGGACGATGGATACATATTTCTCTGGGTGACCGGAAGGTGAGTGAACCTTAGGACGCAATCCAGACACACTTATGGAGAGAAGACTCCGTTTTTTTAGGTAACACAATTGTACAAATACCAGAATCCTCAACGGGATTCGAACCCACACAGGGATGCATTTGCTATAGTAATTGAGCTGGCAAACCCCTTGCAACAGCTCTAATCATCTCGCACTGAAGGGCATGGCAACTAACCGACATCAATCATGTCATTGTTATCGCATTTCGTAAGGCAGAATGCTTCGAAAGGTGTGTATTCATAGTCAGATTATTTTCTCTGTTTTGCCCATAGAGGTCCACTTTATTTGCTTCCCCCAGACCCCTAAAACGGGCCCAATCCCTGTCCACGTTACACATCCTCACTATGTGAGCTTGGTGAAGTTCACTGTATTTCGCTGTTTGGATGATAATGTTGATTTCGCATATTTATTTGTTAAACATTGTCTTGAAGTCACTCAATGTTTAGGAGGTGGAAAGTGACCACAGGACGTGAAAAGCATGGAAGTTAGTCGGCCTGTGGCGTTGCTCCTAAACACGCGATCTTTGGGTCCATGTGCTGGTGACCTGATTCGTTTGACCACCGGTGGCCATCTCTGCATTGTCAGTCAATCCTCAAGACTGTGGGAATTACCCCTTCTGCTGTTCACCAAACAAGAACGTATATATTAAAAAAAGAAATTCACACTGATCGTCGTAACGGCGCCTGATGCCATTTCTGGGTTTTCGCTGTGAGATATCTCACTCCAGATCCTCAATATTCAGTCTTTTTTATTACACGCCAGTGTATAATGATCAGCCGTCGAGGCGGACCACATAGTCACAAAGACCTGGTGTTCAGTGATGGTAACCGGCAACCTAAGTCCCAGAACTTGGATTAGCGAACCATATAAGGCTGCGCTAGCTCGGGCATGGTATAGAACCGGGCGACAGCAAAGCTGCCTACCACCAAAGTTGGATGGCGGTGGCGGGGCTGGAACCTTGGAACACAGAGTCCAAAGCACGCCGGTGACAGCAACTAAACCACTGCGCCACACGCCCTCCTTCGTTTGTGCATCTACCCACTTTATGCACAGATCTGTTTGACTTCTTTTTTTGAAATTTCGTCACCGATTATGATGGTCGATTGTGATCGACCAAATGGGTAACCGAAAGACAGCAATCCGATCAATGTCATATTTGCCATGCCAATCTCCGTAAACTCTACCAAGTTCACAAGGTAAGCATACAAAAAAAAACAGATATCATTGGTATGACTTTCTTGAGCGCATAAGCTCGCATGGAGATATGCACAAAAACAGAGAAACAAACAACCCCTATAGGGATAAATTTAGCGCATATCGCAGTTGTGCGCTCGCATACCCTCCCTCGGGAGTGATAGGAGCAGTCAGTCCGTCGTATAGTCTTTTTCATTCTGCGGTTTCTTTATCGATTTGCGCGGTAAAATAGTCACGTAGCATTCGAAGTTTCTGTTCCAGACGCACATACACTTGAGTCCACTACGATAACTGTCCTGTTTCAGATGCTCTTAATTGATTTGATCTTGTAGCATCAAGAGTTGCCTATCGTCGTAAGAGAATACTGGTTCTGAACTGGCTTCAAAACGATTGGTGACGAAGACTAAGAGAGTACAGCTACAGGTGTAGTACCTTCAGTGCGCAGATGATCAGTGATGGATTATCACCTTGAATAAACGGCTAGATTTCGTTAGACGAACAATTCCAGCCGTTCGGTAGCGATGCTGAGCGGTGCAGGGCTGGATTTATCTCTGTTCTTGTAATTTTCTTGATAATATAATGAAAAGTAAATGGCGAATCCCGCGAGGTGAAATGTTAATCACAGCTGTCTGGGACGGCAGGCATCAAGCGATAGGAGTCATCCGCCTACCTTTTACGTAGTTCGTAAGTTCGAACTTTATCACTATCGCTTTACTCCTACGCATTTCTTGTTTGCCATTCGTGCATTAGCCACGAACCATTTAGCTAAATATGGAATCTACTTTTGTGCATATGAAATAAACCTAAGTGATTAGTGCTATCAAACTCCTGCGGAGAAGCTTCAGTGTCCCGGATGCTTTAGGAAAGTGAACTGACGATACGTCGGTCCCCAATGAGCAGTATTCCGCTACCATATAGGTTGTGCTTATTTCGGTGACTGTAACTCAAGTGCTTTCTCAAATGTAATCCAAGTAGCAAAGGATGAGGAGCTTTTTCGCGTACATAGGAGGGCTATACTAACCAATAGAGACGGGACGTCAAATTAACAGACGGTTTGGTCTTTGATCACACGGACGACAATGAAGGTGCACTGTCTCTCATTTTTTGCACCTAATCACTTCAGAGCTATGGAACTCGGTCGTGAATGCCTTCGACTATGGGGCTATCAGCGTGTGGACGAGATTATCTGGGTCAAGACAAACCAACTTCAACGCCTCATACGAACAGGACGGACCGGTCATTGGCTCAATCACGGGAAGGAACATTGTTTAGTTGGAGTTAAAGGTAAACCTCAGGTGAGAGACGAGTATTCCTAACTCCCCTCGATCTGTGTTTCTGTACATAGCAAACGCCATACTCGGATTATTACGTCGTTCACAAAGTGGCAAACTAAACATATGCTTAGATCCGCACAAACTCATTCACGATTGTTAACGCGGAATCTGCGTTTTTAGAAGTGTAATCACACCCAAACCGCACGTCTAACCAGTTTCTTCTAGTGTTCACTTGTTACTACACACACGGAAACAAATCACTTGCCTTGTTGCAACAGCACCACATGTGTGATTCCCTCGTGCCTGCCATTCACGCTGCCCACTTCGGATTTGTTCCTTTTCTGTCCCAACATGGACAGTCTGGTGTAATCGCAGAAATGAAGGTTGCTGTTTCATTTCTTTCTTTTCAGGACAAGTCAGAGAGGCTGAATTAGCTATTTTGGTTGTTCACGACTACTGACCGGATGTTTTACTTCCAGCTTGAATTTTTCACTCTATGCATAACGATTGCAATTCCGCCTGATAGGCATAACATTGGTTGTCGTTTGTTAGATTATACTGAAAACCCACTGTTGTAGTACGCGGCAAATATACTTTACTATATACCGCACTATTTTGCAGAATACCGTTATTGGTAACGTACAAATACACCAAAATCTGCAGTTTGGTGAGAACAACCCGCTGTTTGATTCCATCATCCGGGATGATGAACTAGTTAGCAGTCCCGTAGGATGCTTGGGTAAGCCGGTCTTCCGTTCTCTGAACCAGAATCACCACGAAGAAGAGGATCGATAAGGTTATACGGTTTTGTTTTTTATTTTGACAACCACATGTCGAAGCATATTATTTGTCGGAACCGACTTCTCCTTTTTGAACGAAATTCTAGGTACTTACTGTGAAAAGTCGTGTCATCTCACATAACACCCTCCATCCTATCGGCAATGGTTTTGCATCGGCCTGTAAACATTAATTGGTACGTACCGATTCATGTCTTTCTCGGACCGTTCGTCAGCACACATCAACCAACTCGAAGAAAACACTTCAGTGTTGTTTGTACTCGACGGACATATTTGATCTGTACCATTTCCGTATATGTTTGTCCTCAGTGAAGTAGGGGTCTGTAACCAGTTAAACGGCTTCTTCAAACCCTAATGGCAGTGTTCATCAACGGTGCTCTTGTCTTGCTATTCTGAGTCAATTCCGTCATGGTCAAAGTACAGCGGAATACCCTGAGTTGCACTGAAACTTTCGTCGAATGAACAAGTGGAGAAGCATGTGCTATTTGGAGTAGTCTACCGGGAGTGAATATATGGGAGGAAGGAGTGCGTAAAACACACCTGACGATCTTATTGACGTGATTAGCGATGCACGCTTTGCGCATTCAAAGTTCCAACCAACCCCGCAAGGTTATTTGTTCACTGCTCCTGCTTTGGGGTAAAGTGATCTGAAATAATTTGTGGTTAATCGCTTCGTTGGCCTAGACGCTTGTGCGACGAATCAAAGTAGCACACTCAGACCAGTGACCGCGTTCATATTCCAAAACTCGAAAGACGAATGCTGGACTACAACACACTTCGCGTTGACACGAGGCTTTGTTGTGCCACATTACGGACAGTTATGCTTTACGGCCGCGAGTCTAGTGATTACAGTTCCAACGCTTAAATGTTTCAATTGGTTGTTCCAAGATGAGGAAAACCACATGGAGACTAGTTGATGCATTGCAAAAACCCCTGCTGAAATTTGTCTTGGCAACCCATTTCACTGAAGGAAGAGGAAAGAAGTACAAAGCTGGGAGCAGTCCCGAGGTGAGCATAGAGATTTAGATAGACTAACCGACAAGTTCGGAAGCGGGGCCTTTGAATTTGGCCGTGCCTTGTTTTCGTGGAATATTATTTTCGTAAAGTTACGTGGAGGAACTCGTTAACATCACTTTTGAATCAACTCGTTATATTTCCAAGGTCACATGTTGTCCTACAACGCCAGATTTTTGAAATCCTTGCAGTTTGTCGCGCAGAAACATCAGTTTCTTATTTTTGCTCATTTTGTAAGAAATCGCTTCAAACGACTGCAAAAATCTGGTCAAGGACAGCATGAAGAACACCGTGCTGGCTGGCGTGTGGCGCTTAGGCGACGCTCTGTTGATAATTTGACTGTTCCATTTATTATCTCA